CATCTATCATCCATCCATCATCCATCCATCATCCATCCATCATCCATCCATCCATCATCCATCCATCCATCCATCCATCCATCCATCCATCCATCCATCCATCCATCCATCCATCCATCCATCCATCCATCCATCGCAGCTGGAGCTAATAGCAGACAGGTGGAGAGCTGCGGCACAATAGCTGGAGACATCTAAAATCCACAGCGCGGTGTCCTCCAAAGTACCTGTGCAGCAGAGCTCAGAGGCAGATGGCGCAAACTGGCATCTAGGCGCACAGGTGCCACAAGCTGGATCCACTGCAATCCATGCGGTCTTTGTGGCACAGTCCCAGAAGTTGACCTCCGGTAGGCCTTGGCTCTCACCAGAGCACCTCCACGTTTTTTGCATCCTCTGCCCTGCCTCTTATGCCCATGGACAGGTAAGCGCCATGGGTCAGCCGGCACGGAAATAAGATGAGGAGGGATTCTGAATGTTTGATCCTCTAATTTTTTGTTTAGGGATGACTCAAAGCATTGATTTAGACCAATAAGTTCTTGTCAGTCATACACTAACAGTTTACAGATATCCTGGCACAATATTTAAAACAATACAGCAATAAGCAGCAAATTCAAATTAGACAAGGTGGGTAGACAACTACTGGTACACGCTGGTGCCATCTTGCCACAGCCAAACGTAACCAGAACCTCCTTCTTCCACCTGCGTAATATCACTAACATTAGAAACATCTGATCTAAAGATGATGCAGAAAAACTGGTCCATGCATTTGTCACGTCTAGACTGGACTATTGCAATGGTTTATTATCTGGGTGTCCAAATACTTCTTTAAAACGTCTTCAGTTGATCCAAAATGCTGCTGCCAGAGTCTTAACTGGAGTTACTGGGAGAGATCACATCTCTCTAACACGAAGTGTTTTTTGTATTTTCTCCTAGAAAAAGTACTCCTGGATATGCCATTCTGTGTCCGTTTCTACTTCCTGTCCTCTCAAATCCAGCCGGTCAAAGCAGATGGTCTCTTGTACTGAGCTGGTTCTGCTGGAGGTTTCTTCCTGTTAAAAGGGAGTTTTTTCTTCCCACTGTCTCCTTTATGCTTGCTCAAGATGGAAGACCACAACAAAGTGAAGATTGAACACAATCTGCTGCTTCCTCAGATAGAACATTTTTACTAACTGGCTTTTATAATGTTTGTGAATGTTTCTGTTCAGTGCCTGAGATGATTTCTGTTGTGACTTGGTGCTGTAGAAATAAAGTGAGTTAAAAACTGAACGGAGTCCGTGTCCTGCAGGGATAAAACGTCTTAGGTCATATCAGATCCATTCTAAAGTTAGTGACAACTGTCCTTCTTTCTTTGTTACACCTGCTTCACAGCCCCAATTTTGAATGTTACGAAAAGGGTTTTCTGTTTTAATTTATCTGTATTTCAACCTAATCCAGATGTTTTCAAAATGTTCTTATTTTGTTCAAATACAACATTTAAAATTTGTTAAACGACTGGCGTTCTTCCCAGTTGAAACTGACAACATATTGCACATCGAGCCAAAAAGTTGTGCCTTGTCAATTATTTTTGTTTAAAAGTGTTTGAAACTGATGATTAGAGTAAAAACTATTCTTTTACTCTGCACACCTGTCACACAGCCCGGCATGATTGTTGTCAGTTCTTTTAAAAGATGACTTGTTAATGTGTTAAAGAAAGACAACAGAAGCTTTTATGAAGACTTTATTACATCTGTGAAAAGTTGCTCTTTAACATGTTAAAACTCTACATTTGAAATGTCTGTACACCAAGAGAAAAACATTATTCTGCTCCTCGTGGAGCTGCTCTACATCAACAATGTTTCCAGACTAACAGTTAGTTGGTCTCCAATAACCTGTGGACTGCTGCAGGGACAGAAGCGAGACACGAGCAGCTGAGGAACCTCCTGCCGCCTGACAGTCAGCGGGCACAGCTGGTTTTTATAAATAATGTGATTAAACACTCAAACAGCTGCACACATCAGTCCTAAAGCATCAGCCCAAACATCCTACAGCTACAGAACCGAGAAATAGTAGCTGAAACACTACCAGAGACACAGTCAGGCAGTTTGTTCAGTACAAGAAGGCTCCCCCCCCCTGACTGAAGGGGCTCCCCCTCCTGACTGAAGGGGCTCCCCCCCC